TCTAATCTGTGCACTGTCTTTCTGTCTATTTTCTTTCTAATTTATTATACTGTTAGCTGTTGAGGTGTTCTGTTAGTTTACCATAAAATCAAACAAAAAAACAGAGATATTGAAACCAAATAGATAGAATGATTAGAAAGAATAAAAATCTATGAATAAAGCTTGGGTGCTCTCATCCCCAATACACCACGCTAACTTCATCTGCATCTCTTTTTCTTGTTCCATCTGATTTTCCCAAAATGCTGCGCAGAATCAGTGTATCACCGATGGCTATGGATTTATGCACCTTCAGCATTTCGAACTCACCATGTATTCCATGTTGGATGCTGAAGGGTAGACTTCCCCCCTCAATTTATTATGAAGCATCAGGATTTCATCTTGGTCACTTCTGGAAATGGATCTCTTGGCCCTTGAGTGGGGTTGCCCGTCTTGGAATTGATTAAGGATGTTTTCCAAATGGGTGGCATTAGGCAAGAAGAAACAGTGGATGCCATGAGTCAGGAAGAGGAGGAGAGTTGGTGGGATGAGCCAAGGAATGCTAGGATTCTTAGCCATTTTCTGCTTGGTGGAAATAAGAGGTGTGGAAACAATACTCTTCCAAGGGAACACTTCTGCAGTATTCTATAGACCTGTAATACAAGAGGAGAAAATGAAAAAAAAAATGTGATTATTTTGAGTCCTGCAACGAGCAAGCTTTTCAAACGATGAATGGTGTTCCTTCAAGTTATTCCTCTTCCCTACTCATTCAAACAAGACGCTTAGAACGGGGGTGGGGTGCGGGTGGGGTTCTAATTTTAAGACTTGTGGACTTCAACTCCCAGAATTCCTCAACCAGCCATGGCTTGCTGAGGAATTCTGGAGGCTGAAGTCCACAAGTCTTAAAGCTTCCAAGTTTGAAGAATCCTGTCTTAGAATCCTGTGTTTCAGGAAGATGAACCTGCAGCTCTATGTCTCTGGGACAGTAAGACAAGAGATAGGTAGAAGATTCCTTCTTAAACAAATATGAAACATTTACCTTCATAATACATTTCACAGGTGAGTGGGGAAGAAAGAACTGAATGGTCTAATACAGAACTTCCTAAACTAGGGTAAATTATACCCCAAATTGGATAAATGGTAGTTTTTCTTTGGTTAGCAACCAACCAACCCAATTTCAATAGGGACACTTACATTGATACAAAAGGGATTTACCTACGTTGAGTAAAAATGACTTTCTGATAAGCGATTTGAAGTAATGAAGAAAAATGTTTGGGAAGCACTGGTCTAAGGGTCCAGCCCATAAGGATAAGGACAAGGTAGATCTATACTCATTTTGAATAATACTTAGTCTCAATATTGCTGGTTTGCAAGCAGGCACCCACTGGAGAATGAGCTTGATAAATATTACTGTGTCCCCAGAATCCTAATTAATGGCACATTGGACCTTCCCAAATAGAAGTTAGGAGAGGTCAACTATGAGCTGTGAGCTGTGTCTTCTTGGCAGCAAAGGAGAACAGAGACCTTGCCAGGTCCCAGGGATCCCTGGCTGCATAAGCAAGATGTCACCAGAATTTTCAATCTAAAGAGGGTGTGTCACAGCTCTCTGCACAAGTTTTTATATAGGCTCCTTTGTTGGAAAAGAGAAGAGAAGAGAAGAGAAGAGAAGAGAAGAGAAGAGAAGAGAAGAGAAGAGAAGAGAAGAGAAGAGAAGAGAAGACCCTGTCTTCTGAGTTAAAGTGATGTTGCAGCCCCCTTTCCCCTATCTTGTCCCTCCAGGAAGAGCAGCATGGTCTCCTAGCCATTCATGGTCATCCAGATGTTTGGCATGTGATTGAAGATGACAGGAGTTGAGGTTCCATTTGTCCCCAGTGCAATGGGTGGAACTCATGGAAAATCAGTGGAGGTAGCACAGAAGTTCTAGCTCAAACATCTTCAAAACATTCATCCTAGCTCCATTCTTGATGAGGGCTCTACAATTTTCAGCCCCAAGTCATTCAGCATCCAAAACTATCTTTGATTTCCCCAAAGCTTCTCTTCCTCTTCTTAAGAATGTTCCAGGCATTAGACATTCTGGGGGGTGGCATTTCTGAGCTAATTTTTTTTTTGAGATATAGTCTATATTTCTGATTGGGTTTGGGTTTTCAGACCCCTTGCTCTTCAAAAATCAAGCACTAAGGACTCTACAATTCAACCCCGAGCTACCAATATTCCCTTCTCTTGGTACCTTGATCTTGATCACTGTGCAGCAGACCCACGTGACACGAAGGGGCAGGGTTCTATTCACATAGTCATTGCCCTCATCTTAGTTTTGGGGGCTTGTTTTACAAAGACTCCTTGCCTGGTATTATCCCTTCCACCCTCAAGCCATGAATGCCTTTGCAGCCTTTTTGTGCCCTGCTTGGAAAAGAGATCTTGGGAATAATCCCATCCTCTTTTAACGAAAGCACGGTTAGTCACTTGGAACGTGGGTGTAGAGGAATATTTTCTAAATCAAGACATGATCAGTCAGGAAGATGCAGGAGAATGCCAGGGGAATGTGGTCTGGAAGACCAGACACTCATATTCTCCTCTCAGCAGCCACTTTCCAATTAACATCAGAGACTAACTCCCATCTAGCATTTATGTGCAGTTCATTCTTAGGAAGAGGGGGAAATAAATTTTATTTTCCATCAAGTTGAGTGAGGTGAGTAGAAAACAGCTGTGAAACACTTTTCAGCACGGCGTTAGTCTCTGTGTTGGGTCCAAGCCAGGAGAAAAATCTACCAAGGATTATAGAAAACAAGTTTAACAGAGAAGGTCAACCAATGAGTGTAAGAGACTTCTTTTATAACCATGAATCCTGGCAACTTCCAAATGTGTGGGGCTCAAGTCCCAGAATTCTCCAGGCAGTCATGCTTTAGAGAAGGAGTGTCCAACCTGGGCCACTTTTAAGACTTGTGGACCTCAAGTCCCAGAATTCCCTAACCAATCAT